CCCTGCCGCGCTTTGCTGGCTCTTTGGGGCCCTGGCTCAGCTTGGCAGGGATTTCTCTGCTGCGCGGAGCCTTTCGGTGTCCAACGCTGCTGTTCTTGCCTTGGCAGGTGGGTGGGCTACCAGTACCCAGGCTACAGAGGCTACCAGTACCTGTTTGAGAAGGGGGATTACAAAGACAGCTCAGAGTTCGGTGCCCAGCACCCCCAGATCCAGTCGGTGAGGCGCATCCGGGACATGCAGTGGCATCAGCGCGGTGCCTACCACCCCATCAACTAGAGCCCGGCCGGCCCCGCGGAGCCAGGGAGCCCCAACCAGCTTTCCCATGACCCGCCGCTCTTTTCCAAAGGCCCCGCGCTCCCACCGTGTGATTAACGCTGCCGCTGACGCAACTGAATAAAGCTTTGAGTTTCAGACTCTCTTCTGGCCCCTTTCTTCCCCGCGGGGACGGGGAGGAGGGCAGAGGCAGCAGGGTCAGTGCTAGCAGGGAAAGGCGGTCGGCAGCCTCCCCGACCCGCTGTGCTCCTGGGGACACGGCATGAGCGTGTGGCAGAGCAGGGTACCCCTGCGTGTGCTGGCCCCGCTGCCCATGCAGCAAAACAGCCAGCCCCATTGCGGTGTCACCACGGATAGAATACGAAACCGCCATGCAAAGAGCTTCTCCCCGTGGAGCGAGCGGGCGGCCGAGCTCGGCAGGAAGGGCAAGAGCTGGTCACCCCCTCGGCCGCGGTGCCAGGCTGTTCCCACGGGAGCGGGGCCCGACAGCGGCGCTCGCGCCCAGGGTGGCTGCGGGAGGAAGACGCCTCCTCTCCAGCCCTGTGTCTTGCTGGCAGGCCTGATGTTGCTTGGGGAGCCGTCAGAGACGGCCCCAGCCTGCCGTGCTGCCTGACAAACTTGCAAGGCCTGGCAGGTCTGCCCTCCCAGCCCGGAAGCCTTTCAGCTAAATGAAGAATTGCTTTAATTATTATCCATAAGTTGAGCAAACGAGGCTATTCCAGAGTGGCTCTAGTAGAGGGAGCGCTTGTGCTAAGACTTGAGCATGATCACGTCTTGCTGCAGTGATGGGCGTCCGAGGCGATGCCGTGGCGTGCGTGGTGCTGATGCGTGCGCACGGACATGATGCGGGTCCCTCCTGCCCGCTGCCGACGGGGCGGCCGTGCCCGCGCGGGGGACACCCCAGCCACTGTGTGTCACTGCAGCTTTGCCAACGCGCGGGGCACAGCGGGGATGACGGCGGCAGCGCAGCTCCTCCGCACTCGCCGACCTGCAGCCCACGCGCCACGAGGGCTCACACGCAGACACGGGGGTGGGTGCCGCTCGCAGGGTGCCACCCGCAGCCAGGGGCTGGGCAGGGGACAGCTCACGAGCCTCGGCGCCCATCTCCCTCCTCCCTTGCATGATCATCATGAGTGGAAACAAAAGCACCGTGGCGGCCGCCGGCCAGGTCAGCCACGCGCCAACACCGGGGTGCAAATGGCGTCCTCAGGATGGGGTGAAGGGAGGAGAAGCCCTCCGGCTGTCAGCGCAGGACAAGATGGCGGACAGGGCATTACCATGGTGATGAGCCCTGCTGGGCCCGGAGGGTTCAGGAGGGCCAGGAGGGCGCAGGGCCCCACGCGGCCGCCACTGGGGAGCCACGGAGCCATTGTGGGGAGCAGCTCCACGTTTGCAAGGACAGGGGCCACCCGCTCGGGAACGGCCTTGCTCAGCCGGGCAATATTCCCACTTAATCGTTTGCCACTCCGGAATGTCAGCTGTTCCCCACGTCGTGCCTTGGCAGTTCTTTGTGGTGCTGCCTTAACGGAACCCATTTCCTGTGCAAATCTGTTTTTCTCAAAGGGGAAAATTCAGTATGATCCCAGACCTGAAAAATCTCTGCCCCAGAATAGCTGTGAAAAAGGGATGTTTAGCAAGAGTAGTGACACAGAGCTCCACTGCCGATAGGAGAACGCCGCCTCCTCCAGGCTTCAGGTTGACTCGGCAGAAAACATGTCTTGTGTGCGTGCAAACTGATAACGTAAGAAATATGGTAGGGAGCAGAGATCTGGAGATCGGGAAGACGGGCATGAAGAGCCCCTGCTTGCTCCCTGCATGAGCGGACGTGAGGGTGAGGAGCCACCAAGGCAGGGGACAGCAGCAGCAATGAGCACAGGGGTGATTCACCTGTGACCTGTTGAAGGGATTCCTTATCTGCTCACATCTGGGTTGTCTCTCTTAGGAGGCGCCAGCAGCTGAGGCTAATCCCATGGTTTCAACTTGTGCTCTGCAGAGTTTGTTTTTTGCGCTGCCCCATCCAGCCCAGCATGGAGAAAACCCAGTTTTGTTGTGGCTTGTCCTGGGGCCGAGCGCCTGCCCGGCTCCCCATGGCCACCGCGTGTGCTGTCACAGCCGCTCTCCCCGCTCCTCCTGAATTATTGAATCGATGACAGTGCTGAGACAGAGCTAATTAGTTGCTAGCTTTGCTGCTGCCAAACACACCAGGAGCAGTTTGTAATCACAGCAGGTGTTCTTATTTTCATTCTTCACCCCAAGCAATACTTCCTGGGTAGAGTACCTTGTTCCTCTAGGATGTCCTGCTGCCAATTCCTGTGGGCTTTGCATGTGCTGGTGTGCAGGGCTCAAGCCTAGGCTTTTAGTTTCATCTTGCTGCTTCTCTGCCCTGGGCTGGGGGATGCTGCCTGGGTAAGCCTGCTCCAGGGAAGGTAACGCTTCTCATTCCTTGCCCCAGAGTGCTGCCCCCAGCTCAGGCAGGGATGGAGCGATGGATCTGCTTATAAGCAGTTTCTGGGGTCTTCTCCCAGGCATTGGGAATAACCTGAGGTGGGCTGGGTTGAGCTATCTCAGGGGCCACCAGCAGGCAAGTGGAATCAGCTATTCCCTGATGCTACCTTGGGATCGAGAGATCCTGGCTTGGGTCATGCCAAAGCTGAGACCTGGAGATGTGCCACCACCTTTTCTGGATGTGAGTCCTGCTCATTGGTCTGAACGAGAGACAGGAGGAAATGGACCCTGCTGTGATGGCAGGAGGGACTTAGTTTTGTCACCTGCTCCCAGCGTGGCCTGGTGCTCTGACCGCCCCATGTGCTGCCCTGCATGGCAGTGTGGGCTTGCCCTGCTCGCAGGGGAGTAGCAGTGGGTACATCGGTGCTCATGGTTTCTGCAGCGCCTCGTGTAGGAGGAGATGTGTTTTCCTGACTCTAATAGCAATGCGCTGAGCAAGTGGTTCTGTTATTTTGCAGTTGCTCCTATTTTGACTTGCACTGATTCATCAGTAACCTCAGCCCTTAAGCCTGTATTTGCCGGAGGAAGTAAAATCCTGTTTTGAGGATCATGCTAATGTGTTGTCATCCCCAGCACAGCCTGGCAGTCATGTGCAGTGTGGTGAGGACCCCCTCTCGCCATCGGTGCCTTTGGCTTCACGGGGCTCTGTGCTGCAGCCTTTTCCTTCCCCACCTGCACGAAGGCATTCAGGTGCACAGCTGAGACCAGCTGTGTTCCTTCCTTCCTCCTCTTGCTCAGCGTTCAAGCACATTGACTCCACAGCTGCTTCTGGGACACTGGTGTCCTGGCCATGCAACCGCCTGTG